AGAAATTTCTAGAATAATATTTTCGTTTGTTTTTAATGGTTGAGAGCTGTGGTTTATATTTCTGAAAATATAAATTTCCAGTTAATTATTCTAAATTCAATCTTGATTTGTCTTTTAGAAACAACAGCATCAGTAATTATGTTTCTTGTGTTGTCTTCATGACAATGCTATACTTAGAAAAGAAAACCTTCATGTACTTTTTCATTGGCTAAAAGTTTTAATCAGCTACTCCACCTCCATAATTTCTAACTTTTATAATATCTAGAATACACACTGAGATTAAATAGAAAAACTATAAAAACCATAATGGGTTATTTCATTGCCATACTCGTTTTTTTTTTTTAAACCTCGTTTTTTAAGTGTTCACTAACTTCTCTCATTACTCCTTGACCAGAATGGCTAAAATTGAACAAGACTGACAATTCAAAATGTTGACAAGGATATAGAGCAACTGGAATGCCATACATTGTTGGAGGGGTTGTAAGTGATACAGCCACTTTAGAAAAAGTCACAGTTTTTTATAAAACTAAACATATACCTCCCCTATGATCCAGCAATTCCACTCCTGGGTATTTACCCAAGAAAAACGAAAACACGCATCCACGAAAGACTTATATGAGAGTGTTCATGGCAGCTTTATTCCAGGTATATATTTTAGAGAGTGGATATACAAACTGTGGTAAATTTAATAAATGGAACACCGTTCGACAACAAAAAGGAACAAACTAATGACACAAGCGACAACATGGATGAATCCCTGAAACGCGCTATGAGAAAGAAGCCTTGCATGATGGAGTACGCACTGCATGCCTCCGATTACACGAAGTTCTAGAACAGGCAAAACTAATCTATGTTGGAAAAAAACCAGAACAGTGGTTATCTCTGGGCGTGGGCAAGAGCAGGAGTTGACTGAGAAGGTGCATTAGGCATTTTGGGATGAGAGTAATGTTATTTTGATATGAGTCTCAGTTACACAGCTGTGCACATTTGCCAAAACTCACAGAATGTTTGCTTAAAATGCACATATCTAAAAACCAACTGTAAATAAAATGAAACTCTAGTTAATGAAATGTATGCTGAAGTATTTAGGGGGGAGTGATCTCTGCAACTTACTTTGAAAATGTATCAAAAAATTAGAGGATTGATAGATGGATAAATGGGTAAATATGTCATAAAGCAAGTCTATTAACATGTTATGACAGAATCTAGGTAGTGAGTACATGGATGTTTAGTATAAATTCTTCCAAATTTTCTGTATGTTTGAAATTTTTCATAATAAAATATTGAATAAAAGCTCATTAGCTTCTTTCATCTTCCAAAATTGGTGCATCTCCTTTTCACCTCTCCTTTGGTCCTCTCAGTTCTTGGAGGCACAGAGACAACCTTGGGACTAGAGCTCCCCAGGTCGTGCCATTTGAGGCACTCCAGAAGGCCTGCTCTGCTCAGCATCTCCCCTGCACGCTTCTGCTTCCTGTCACAATTGAACGTTTCTATTAAAGATTTATTCCTTTAGTTCTAGATGCAGTTTGGGTCATCAGATGTCTCTTATCAAAGTGCAAATATTCCCAGGTCGGGGAAGTAATTTAAGCTTAGGGGGAATTATTTGTCAAATAACGGAGAGCAGAGTCTTTTGTTATGGAAAATAAAATATAAAGGAGATGTGGACAAGAAAGGACAAAGAGAAGCTATGTTGGAGGTTAAGACACATGGATCTTTTTGCCTGAGCTGAGTTAAAAAAGCAGGGCTCACCAACAGGGGCAGCTCTAATCCCTGTTCCTCGGCCACAAGAGCCAGAGCCAGAAATAGGGTTAGGGTAATGGTCACAGAAAAACACTTCTCTGGCTCCAGCCTTGCATGCTCTGTGGGAACCTCAGATCCCTCAACATCCCCCAGTTCATCTGCAAGGCTTGAGAGGGTGTTTCCAGTGTGCTTGGGAACGAATCCTCTCTTTCATCTTGACCTGCTGAGGCTCTGAGTTCCTCCCAGACATTCCATCAAAGCCTGTGTCAAAGGCCTGGATGTCTGACGCAGGCTGATTTCTTCTCCCACATCAACTCTGGTCCAGAAGAAGGCTACCTTCAGCCCCTCAGGCCCCTCCCACCCAGAGGAGGCCCAAATGAGGAATGCTCCCTTCACCTTCTAAATCCCCATATCTTCTCTAGAAACTTCACTGAAACACTGTCTTGTTCTCTTTATTGCAGCCTCTTTTCCTCAGTGCTGGGGTTATGTGAGGGACAGACAAGGGCTGTGCTGAGGTGTACCCAACCCTATCACTGCCTCAGTGGCCTTGGACAGTCTTTGTGACTCTCCTGTCTCTCTTTCCTTAGGATGAATTCTCACTTCCCTTAAGAAGTTTTTTGGTCCTTTGTGCACATCAGCCCATTAACGGTCTCCCCTTCTGTTTCTTTTCTGGCAAGATTGAATACTAGGGAGATCCCAGCTGAAGCTATCAGGATGGGACCCTAGTTTATGAATAAAAACAAGTGGATGCATACTTCCATTTGTGTTGTTGTCCCTTCCACTGAGAGATGGAGTCTTAACTCTTCACCTCTTGCATGTGAGCCTGGCCACATGATTTGCTTTGGCCAATGATACATCAGCAAATGTGACAGAAAGTCTTGAAAAGAGTTTGTGCATTGGGGTCTGCCCTCATTTGCTGCTTCTGGAACCCAGTGGCCAGTAAAAAGCCTGAGGTAGCCTGCTAGATGCTGCGGACACATGGTGCAGTTGGCTCTGCACCACAGCCAACCACCAGACATGTGAGTGAGGCAATCCATGTTCGATCAGCTACTGGCTAAACCCCTGGCTGACTGCAGCCACAGGAGTGAGCCCAGGCAAGACCAGAAGAGCTTCGTTCAAACTGTCAACACCCAGAATTGTGAGCTACTCAGTGACTGTTTTTTTTTAAGTCACTAAGTTTTGGGGTTGTTTGATAAACAGCAACAGATAACTGATACACTGTTGGAAAGGTGGAAGAAGGAATGTGGAATTGATGGAATAAGTATCCATAATTGATGGATAAGATCAGATCTAAGGTCCTCTTCAGAAATTCTACGATTTGACGAGAAGATCCCAATCTCTACACCAAGTATAATATATATAATTAAAAATTTTAATTTAACACCATATCTTCTCTTCCCTTCTGTTTTATACTGTAAATCCTGGAGTGACACAAGGTGTGACCATAAGGAACTATGACTGATTATCACCGCATCCATCTCAATACTTCCTGGTCGTGCCTTGTTCTATTGCCAGCAAGGCAGTGCCTTTCTTGAGTTGTGTACTGTTTATAAATGTTTCTATTACATGATTCATATCCCAATCTTGGATAAGAGTTATAACCAAGATAAAAAAAAGAGTTGAGACTTACGTATAAATTAATTTTTTAATAAAAAATATTGAAATCACTTGCAAAGTCACACACAACCATAAAAGAATGTAGCTGCTATAATACTAAAGGAAATTACCTCTAGGCTTCCATCCAGTACAGTGCAATTTTCAGCAACTAAGACAGAGGCCTTGAAAATAAGAGGTAATAATGGAAATGCTGACAAACCCATAACTCCCACTGCTGAAAGAATGGCAAAGAAAGACCAGAATAATAACAACACAGTGTGAACTCCCAGTGTTTTTACTTAGCATTGGCAGCAAGTGATAGAATACGCTTTCATAATAACAACATTGTAATTAAATTATCAATTGTTTAAATAATTTCTGAAAGTTAGGGGAAAAAAATAGCACAATTTAATTTGGGATAAAATTTCATTTCGCTAAGGTTTTTGCTTCCTGCCCACAAGTCAGAGATTTCCCAGATGGGACAATACCCTGTCCTGGTTTATACACTTAGTGTCCACCTTAGGTCACGTAGAGGGAGACACAGGAGCGGGGAGATGCATCTTTGTACACAACATGTCGCACTGAGGACTGGGGGCCTGGAGTTCTGGAAAATGTCCTCTTTCACCTCGGTGTTCAGCGCTTTCTCCTTCCCCGGCTTTGACATAGTTTTCCTCTTTGAAGCACAGGGACATCAGGAAAGAGTGTGGACAGTTCTCATCTCCATTTATGCTGCCCCCTGCCTCCTTTGCTTGCAATCCCCTCAAGGGCCTCAAAGGGTCTCCTCCTCCAGATACTCAGAGCTGAGGCAGCAGGAGGGGAGAGGCCAGTTTGAAGGTGCCGGCTGCCCTTATTCAGGACAGAATGTCCTCTCTTCTTATTTGCCTTTTTTTAGCCAAGGACAAAGAGAGAGGAGACTTGATTTTCCTCCATTAATCTGCTCCAGTGAGTGTACTATCCAACATCTGAAATCACTTGTGATGTGACAATTTTTTTTGAATGCTAGCATCTCATTTTATGTAATTTTATGGGTAACAGGAAGGGAATTCAGCTTAGAAAACTTTTGACCAACAATCACTGAAACAAATAAAAATAAAGAGAAAGAGAATGACTGTGACGCACGAAATAAAACAGCCTGCTATGACAAGAATGTACTTGAATCATGTTTTCCAAAGGCCACATTTCTTATCTGTTCTGTAACAACCTGAAATCTCCTCCTCAGCAAGTCTCTCTCAGGCTTCTTAGTTGCCCAAGGCTGACTAATGTCGGAATTTAGAAGTGTCGACGAAAATAATCCATAACCAATCTATAAACGAACATTTGGGTGAGTTTATTCTGAGCTAAAATGTGAGGACCATGGCCTGGGGCCTTTCTTCCTGAAGGAAGAAAGGACACTGAAGAAGTGAGGTATACAGAGTGGTTATATATTCCCAGACAGGATATTTCACATATGATTGAAATGTCCCTCCCACAATAGTCACAAGATTGCCCTGTCAGCGCTTGATGGACACAGCAGGTAGTGGGTCTGCTATCTGGGAGGGCATAGCAGGAGGCAAGTCTATTGTCTCGAGCTGGGTGGTCACAGGTCAGGGCAGCAATCAGTTCCCAGCCTAAGGAAAGATGCTTAATCCTTAAGGGAATGCCAATGTTGGGAGGGGGAGGGAAGTTGCACCTTTATCTCAAGGGCCTTTGTTCTTGCCATAGGGAATATCTAAAGCAGATATACAATGCATGCTCAACAGGCCTCGGTCAGGCGCTTTTGGACAGACAAGGTCAGGCGGAATTAGGTTTACACCAAATGGCTTCCTCATATACTCCAATACATCCTATTGCTTGCCATTTTTATTTGTCAGAAGGATGGACACACAGAATAGACTTTCTGAGAAAGGGACTTCAGACTCCATTTTGGCTCACCAGCTCCACAGCATCCCCCAAGCTTGTTTGTGATTTGGAAAAACAAAGGTGCAGAGTGTTATTGATTGAATTGTGTCCCCTAAAAAGGTCTGTCAAAGTCCACTACCTGTGAATGAAACCCTATTTGGAAATATGGTCTTTGCAGCTGTAATCAAGTTTAAGATGAGGTCATTAAGGTAGACCCTAATCCAATATAACTGCTGTCATCACAGAAGAAAAGATTCATGGGAGAAGGCCCTGTGAAGACAGCGAGAGATTGAAGTACTGCAGCTGCAAGCCGGGGAGCACTGAGGGTTGCTGGCAAACCCCCGATGTGAGGAAGAGGCAAGGAAGGATTCTCCCCAAAGCTTTCGGCGGGAGCATGGCCATGCCGACACCTCGATTTTGGACTTCTGACCTCCAGAACTGTGAGAACGATACATTTCTGTTGCTTTAAGCCACACAGTTTGTGGTACCTTGTTACAACAGCCATAGGAAATGAATACAGAGAGTTTAGCCAAATGGCCCACGATCACATGGCTGGTCATGGCAGAGGACACACAAGAACATAACCTCAGTGATTCCCACACCAGAGTTCCTTCTATCGTCCTGGGCTTTACTTCTCTCAAGTGTCACACCTAAGTTGTATCCATGTGTTTCCTTACGTCTTTTTGCTTTCATTCCAGATTTCTATAATAATTTCCCTCACATAGACTTTCCTTGTCTCTCCATTTTTATTCTGAAAATTTTGCAACCTATAGATAAATTGAACAGAATGAACACCATTCCCTTCAACTAAATTTACCAATGAACATTTCACCACATTCATTTCCTTCTCTCTTTCTCTCTCTCCATATGTTTACTTTTGTCTTGAACCATTTGTAAGTTAGAGACCTCATGACATTTCACACCTAAAATATTTCAGCATGTACCTCCTAAGAACAAAGACTTTCTCCTTCATAATGATCAGATTCAAGGAATTTAACACCAATACAAAAGAGTATCTAATAACAAGACTATATTCAAATTACTCCAACTTTCCCCCAAACGTCCTTTATAGATATTTTCCTCCTTCCTCCCCTTGCTTCCCCTCTATACTCTGCTTTTCTTCAATTTTGGATCTAGAACCCCATCACTCAGCTGCCATGTCTGTTTCATCTCTTTTAATTTGGAGCACTCCTCCAACTTTTTTGTCTGTTCGACTGTCTTTCACAGAATTGACCTTCTTAAAGAATCCAAGCCAGTTGCTTTGCAGAATAACCCACAATCTGTATTCGTCTGCTTATTTCCTCATGATCAGATTATACATTCTTTGGTCAGAATATTACCTAGATGATGCTGTGCACTTCCCATGGCTTCTCCTCAGGGAGAACATAATGCCAGTCAATAACCACATTTAACGATGATGTTAGATTCATTGGTGATGGTATCTGCCCATTGTAAAGGTACCATTTTTTTCCCAGTAAAATTAATCAATAACCTGTAGGGGATATTTGAGGGAAGATTTGTCCCTAACTTAATACAGTACACCCAGAGTTAAAAACAGAAGTTGACTTGGTATTAGATATCACTCCGTAGCTGAAATGCAACACCTAGCATGCCCTGGCTTGATTTACCACGTTTTTCATACGGGTTGTAGCGGAGGTTAAGGTTAAAACCAACCCTCCCTCACAGACCACAAGCCATCTGAAGGTCATTCTCATGGCTTTACCAGCACCTGTAATATAATCCATGTTTTGGCCTCAGCCAAGATTTTTGACTCATTAAAATTTACACTGAAATGTAAGAAGGCATACCAAAAAAAAAAAAAAGAAGAGTAAAACCCTAGGTAGGTAACTGCAATTTTAGAGCATAAATTTACGTTAGGTAAATCAAAGTTTTGCTTCTCATCATGTCAGTATCACAATAGCTCAAGTATCATGGATCTTATACTATTACACTTATGACAGGGCAGTATTTTCCCAGTTGGTTATGAAAAAGGACATGAACTTGAGAAAGTGGGACAAAAATAGATCTCCAAAGCCATGTGAATCATTTTTGAGAGGTCAGAAATATTCACAGCTTTAACTGGAAGTAACGGCTTTGGTAATTAGTATAAGGACACAAAAACACAGCCCTAGGTCTCTTGAGTGAATATTAAGCATAGTGAATACGGCGCATAAGCCACCAAGCCCACCCTCAGGGCGCTTCTATGTCTTGAGACAACTGGCTCTGCTGTGAATTTCTGTGGAGTTTTTTCTGTATTGTTTTCCCACTAGATCACAAGTTCCATGAGAACACGGACTTGGTCCTGTTTGATCTCCAGGGTCCAGAACATTGCCTGGATGCATTGGGTGTCCAATGATTATTGGTTGAATGAATTAATGATTCAAAATAGTGCTCTTCAAGCTTAGGTCAATTCAACATTTCTAAGAAGGAGATGTAACCCCCTTACTCCCTTTTAATTTAATCACAAAATGTGTTGCTCGGGAGTGTGTGAATAAACAGGGCCTTTTTAGCTCCTCTATCTCAACCTCCAACAGCTTAGCCAGTCATTTCAGGGCAGACAGGTTCAAGGCACAACCTGTGTGCCAGATCAGGTCATGATTCTACTCCTCAAGGCCATGTATCTCTTTCTCTTTTTTTGCAAAGCAGGAACTAGGAAGGACATAGAATATTCCATCATCTCATCTTCACTGGTGTGCTTATCTCCTCCCAACATTTCCATTGCTGAGTTGTTAAAGGTTGTGGGGAGAGAGAAGTCTGCAGATTGTTAACAGAATGTATAATTTGCTTAAATACTTTGCATTTTTTCTCTACATGATTTTGAATAGAAATATTGTCATATAAAATTTTGATTAATTTGCTTAAATATATGATAGTTAACCAAAATAAATGATCTGCCCTATAAACATTAGAGTATTTTTTTGTTGTTCATGTGCAGATGCTTTAGTTTCAAGGAAGCTGAAAGAATCAACTAGTACATATGTTCATTTGAATCAGGACCCTCTAGACTCAAAGAGGGAAGACAGCGCACAGTAGACGAGAAAAGGGGCAGGAGAGAGGCTTTCCTCCCAGAAAGAAACAGCAATAATAAAAATTAAAATATATGAATAGCAGTAGTTTGTGTTTATTACATGCTTATTACTTCTATTTACAACAGCCCTATGGAGTAGGAACTATTATTCCCATTGCAGAGAGGAGGAAACTGAGGCAAGGTTGTGAGTTGACAGTAGTAAGGGGTCGAGCAAGAATTTGAATCCTCTGACTTCAGAGCCTCTTACTTTACCATACACAGGGATTGCCATCCAAGGCAGAGTAGAAAGAGAGTCTGTTATTTACAAGCATTGTCTAGCAAGTTTTCAAGAAAATCTTTGATCATTTCTTAAAGTACTTATGCTGGGAGGAACGCAGGGCAGATAAGCTCCTGTAAGATCACTGCCCAGAGTTCAGATAGGGAATCCCTACAGTCTTTTAAACATCTTTTGATATTATTCAGTCCTTTTACCACCTTTGTCATTCTCCTTGAATCCCTCTTCAAAGATGACATATTCCCTAAAATTATGGATACAGCTCTACTCCTGAGAGGCATCCATTTGCAAATAGATGAAAAGCTTTGCTACTGTAGGTGAGATGAATGAGGGATCCAGGACGCAGCCGGCCTTCAATGTGGAGCATTAAAGACTCTATTACCACTGATCTGCTTAGACACACAGACTCACTCTTTCTCCTGTCCCCTTGTGAAAAATGGGGGTGGAAGGGGCCTGGATATACAAAGGTTCAAGTTTTCATTTGTCAAGCCTAATTTTATCTAAACTCCATAAGAGTTTATGTGGGGGGAAAATGCTTCTAAAACCAGCACTCATGTTGGCAACAGCAGCTTTCCAGAGCTATAGTCCAAATTCTGCACCACTGTGGGCACAGGTGTCTCTTACATCCACCTCCTCCACCCACTCCCCAAGACACATGCGAGAAAAACATTCAAAACCAGTCTTAAAAAGCAAGCATATATTTTTTCTTTCTTGCAAATTAATTTACCCTTAACACAGATGTGGTTAAATCACTGGCAGGCAAGTGGCAGGAACGTCCATATATACGAGCATCTCTCTCTTCTAACCTCAGCTTAAATGTAACCGTCCATAACAAGGGCTCCTAACCTTTTGCATGTCAAAGAACAATAAATGAATGATTAGTACATGAAAATGTGGACTGACATTAGGTTGCCAAGTTCCATTTTGCACTGAAAGAAAACAAATAACAATACATGTTATCAACATGAGTTCATAAAGTAAAGGACAATACAACAGAAAAAAACAGGTAAATACATAATTTCAGGCTAAAGAATTTTTAAAAATCATAAAATGGGCTTATGGAATTTATTTACAGAAAAAAAAATCACTGCTTTGTTTCTTTTTTTTTTTTCTCACCCTGACACAAATCAGTGAAAATTCTATTAGAGACCAACTCTGGTCTTGGGAGCAAGATTTGGGGGCCTCTGACTTAAAAGTTTTTCCTGATTACCTCCTCCCTCCACCACCAGGCAGAACCAATCCCATTCTTTCTCCTCAAGCATTTTGTGAATACTTCTGCTATATCACATGATTGTACAATTATTCCTGTTAATGTTTATCTAGCAACTAGACCACAAGTTCTTAAAGGCACAAAGACTGTCTTACCCTTTGCTATTTACAGAACATAGCACAAAGCCTAGAACACAGAAAGCATTCTAAGAGAATTTATCAAATTAATTTGTACAAAAAGAAGAGAAAGATCTCTCCCTAGACAAAACTGATCATTTTATTTGCAAACTAGCATACCATAATAAGCCTTGGAGGTAGGTCCCAGAGATGGAAAGAAAGTTATAAGAAAATTCAAATACCATTAGCACACAGCAGTGGCTGGCAAATTTAAACAAAGTTGAAATAATTAGTCAATACCATTGTTCTGAAAAGCAACCTCAGCTAAAAAGTTGGTTTGGGGTTATATTTAAACATTAATAGTGACATCATTTATACAGACTTCAAATGAAAATGGAATTTGCAGATTCAGAATAGAGTAAGAATCATCAAAAGGTAGGGTAATAGCCAGCAGCAAATGAGATCCTCTCTATTCATTTATCCAGGGGGTTTATTGGTGAGTCATTGATCTGTGGTCTGAATACTGAACACCAAGCTGGCAATTCCCTGAATCCAGGAAAACAACATGGGCTAATTTATTTCCCTGACAAAATTTGGCTACAGCTCAGCAATGCAGTAAAAATACCTTCCATAAAAATATCTTTATGGATTTTCTCATTACATGACAGATGAGGAGTGGAATCGTCTTTTGAGGGGCAGAATCACCAAAAACTTTTATCCCTTATACACATATATCTCCCATGAAGCAAAGAACATAAAAAGTGAAAGGAATTAAAATTATAATCATTTTTTACCCTACCAAATTAAGAGAAGGTAAGTGTTATGTTAGCTATTATTTTTAACTCATTAGTGGTATCCAAAAGTTAAATCATTTAGTGTTGTCTTAAGGGTCAAATTTGTATTTACCTCTAGTAGTGATTAAATAGAGTTATGAGGCTACACAAAGCTTTAGGGATGAAATTGTGGCAGCACTGGCAATTGTAAGCAGGATCAGAGGAAGAAAACTGGAAACCCAGAACTTCACTGCTTATTGGTGCTCATTTACCTAGTCTTCAGGATGAAAGGAATGGAAACAGCTCTGGAGCACACTTGAGTGTGTCTGAATCCAGCACTTTTATAAAAGTAGCATCATGGAGGCTCAGCTACATTATTCACTCACTGTGGTTGGCAACCCCAAGGTGGCCCCCAGTGCTCCCCACCCCCGAAATTCATAGCCTTGTGGCGCTCCCTTCCAAATTTTACTGGAGTTGGTTTGTGTGACCAATAGAATAAGACAAAAGTGACTGTATGTCACTTCTGAGACTAAGTTATAAAAGATATTGCAGCTTCTGTCTTGGTGTCTCTCCCTGTCTCTCTAGACTACCTGCTTTGGGGGAAAGCCAGCTCCTACGTTGTGAACAGCCCTCTAGAAAGGTCCACGAGGCAAGGAACTGAAATGTTCTCCCAAAGGCCATGTGAGTGAGCTGGAAGCAGATTCTCCAGTCCCAGTCAAGCTTTCAGATGACTGCAGCCCCAGCTGACAGCCTGACTGCAACCTCATCAGACACTGAACTAGAACCACTAAGTTGCTCCTGGGTTCCTGACCCTCAGAAACCAAGTGAGAAAATAAATGTTTGCTGCTAATTTTGGGGGGTGATTTGTTACCCAGCAATAGATAACTAATATACCCACTGTGATCTGGGGTAAGTTAGATAAATTAATTGAGCCTCTGCTTCCTCATCCATAGAGTGAGGATTAACGTAAACAAAAGTATATTCGTTTCAGAATGAATTTAGGACTACTTTCAGGGATGTGTAAAATACAAGGAAGTGTAAATTAAAAGAGAAGGGAGGATAGAAAAACAAGGGTGAGGATATAAAAAAAACAGGAAAGAGGCTAAAAAATAATATATTATACACAGCCTATACTGGGCCACAATTCTGGCTCTGAAACGTTGCTAACTCCTCCAACCTCCCTGCCCCGCCTAGATAGGTATTTCTTCAGCTCAGAGTCCAACAATTAAAAAAAGAAAATCCAATGATTTGAGAGACATTAATCATCCTCAGTGCTAACATGAATGAGACTTTTCCTTGGGAGCTCCCCAAAGCAGACCCTATATGGAGTACAAGCTGAGTCCTTCACACTCACGGGTAATTTAATGAAATGGGATGATACATACATAGTGTCTCATATCATGCTGGCCCATAATGGGCTCTCATACAACAGTACCTGCTGTTACTACTATCATGCTGGGCAAAGTTTACCAGGACTATAGCTCACCTCTAAAAAATGGGCCTCTTTGATACCCTTCCCTTTTCATCTTTTCTTTATTTACCTCGCCACGAAGCACTGATGTTTCTAGAAATGTTTCTTCCCATCCAATCCCTCCTTTACATTCTTGCTGCCATTTCCTAGCTCTGAGTTTTAACTCTCTCCTCCCATATTTAGGCAATAGCCCTGTATTAGTCAGCTCTGGCTGCCACAGCAAAATACCATAGACTAGGCAACTCGGACATTCATTTCTCACAGTTTCGGAGGCTAGGAAATCCAAGTGCAAGGTGCTGGTCAATTCTGTTCCTGGTACGGATGCTCCTTCCTGGCTTGTAGGTGGCCCCCTCCTCCATGTGTCCTCACATGTTGGGGAGAGAGAGAGAGAGAGAATGTGTACAAGCTCCCTAGTGTCTCTTCCTCTAAGAGCGCTAATCCCATCATGAGGGCTACATCCTCATGGCCTCATTTAAACCTAACCACCTGCCAAAGGCCCCATCTCCAAATACCATCACGTTGGGGGCTAGAGCTTCAACACATGAATTTTGAGGAGACACAATTCAGTCGATAGCAAGCCCTCAGTCATTCCCAGTCGAACCATGATGTATATGATTGTCAGAGCACTTTGTCTCTTCTTTCATCACGATTTAGTCAAGTGCCAACCCGGGTCCAGACTGCAGGATGAGAAAGCCCAACATCCTTGAAATTAAAGACCTTCAAGAATCAAGCCTTTTGCCCCAAGAACCAGCCTTCTGCCCCAGCACAGCTCCTCCACTCAGATTTTCTCCCTCTCCTCTCTGGGCCTTTCTATACTGTGAAACCTAAAATGTACCATCACCACCACCCTTTTTCTTGATTCCAATTCCATTCTTTAAACCTAGTTCAAATTCTAGCTAAGAACTGAGAGTCTCACAGTTGGAAGGACTCTAAAGATTACTCTGCCCAACCTTCAACCTCATCCATGCATCATCCATTCACCAATCCAACATTCACTGGGCACCTTATGAGCCAAGTAAAAATGAATACATTGCTTCAGCCCAGAAGGAGGTCACAGTTTGTACAGGGAGACTGGAATGCAAATGACTAGCATGTAAGTACAATGTTCAAGCCATGAACAAAGTGCTCTGGGAGCACATTCTTTGACACTTGTCATCTAGATTCTATCTGAATACCTCCAGCAACAGCAAACCAATTACCTCAAGGGGTAGCTCATTCTATTTCCACAAAACTGTAACCATATAAAGTTATCATATTGAGTTTAAATCTAACTTTTACACATTTATTCTAGTTTTTTCCAAACTCCAGAGTTTTCAAACATAAATGTAGCTTTCTTTTCATAGCACTTCGTTTAAGTATTTGAAGACCACACCATAAATATCCCTAAACTTCTTATATGTTCTGATTCTAGGCTCTTCACCCTGCTAGCTGCCCTCCTCTGCCTCCACCAAAGGTTTTTTATACCTTTCAAAGTCTGGTGGAGATCCACCAAGGTAGAAGAGAGGGAGGCTATCACCTCCTTTGTTCTTATCTTAATGCCACCTAAGATCACATTTATCTTTCGGGGAGGGCAGGGGGCACCCTTATTACCTCTTATAGACAATCAAAATTTCCAGTATTCTTTTTTTCTCTTTAACACACTTCAGTGATCTCTCCTATTGATGGTTCATCCTGAGGCTCGTTGCAAACTGTCATACATGTTATCAGCTAACTTTTTTATGTATATATCTAAACTCTCTACCTAAACAGGAGGTTTCTTGGGAGTAAAGATACTTTTATTGTTCATATTTACCTTTAATAGTATATGAAAGAATGAGCAAGTGTTAAGGGAGTAAAGCACTGTGCTATGCAGAATAATGCCCCTTCCTAAAAGATGTCCACATCACAAGCTCCAGAACGTGTGAATATGCTTTGTTACATGGCAAGGGAGAATTAAGGTTGCAGATGGATTTATGGTTGCTAATCAACTGACTTTAAAATAAAGAGATTATCTTGGATTATCACAGGGGGCCCAGTGTAATCACAAGGCCCTCTAGAAAGGAAGGCAGAAGATTTCAGAGTCAGAGTGATTGGCAGATGCTACCCTGCTCCCTTTGAACATGGAGAAAGGAGCCATGAGCCAAGGAATGCAGCAGCTTCTCAACACTGGATAAGGCAAGAAAACAGATCTCCCCCAAAGCCTCCAGGAGGAAATGTAGCTCTGCTGACACCTTGATTTTTGCCAACTGAGACCCATGTCAGACTTCTGACTTCCAGAACCGTAAGGTATATATGCTGTTTAAAGCCTCTAAATTTGTGGTAATTTGTTAGAGTATCAATAGAGAATTCACACAAGTGCTACCACTTGGTGCTATTTGCCAACCATCATCTGGCATTTCCCTTTAGATTACCATTAGTCCTTACAACACACCTCAGATTTTAAAAATGTTGAAGCTATTGGGTAAAACTGGAAAGATTACCCAGCTAGCAAGAAGCAGAGCTAGGATTTGAACTCCAGTCTCTCTAACTCCAACTTATACTCATTTCACAAAACCAGGATCCTTAAAAAGGGATAAAATCACAACCTAGATATCATACCTGAGAAATTCTCTAAATATTCTGATGAGACTTCCTGAGCCCATTATTCTGAGCAGAAACGACACATAATTCAATAGCTTTTATTAACATTCTTTAATTCATCTATCTTCTTTCTCTCCTTGAACGTTTCTCTCTCCAGATGATACTGTTTAAAAATAAAAGCAACATTTTAAACTGAACATAACTTACAGCTTTCAATAGATTAAACTGTTCACTTCATCACATAACCAAGTACAGTTTATTAGTAGGATGTGAATTGAATACTCATCCATTCATACAATTGAATACATGAATTAGGTATTCATCTACAAATATTTATATCTATTTTGCAAGGAAAATAGGCTTTTTAAGCCACAATTGGTTTTCCTGAAAAACCATCACCAAACCCTGCAGTGCTCTGACAAGAGTGGTCATTCAGTGGTGATACACTTAGCTGTGCAAAATTTATTGCTGGTTACAGACACAATAAGCATGAGTGAAAATTCTACAACTGTTAAGGATATAGTTTGCCCTCAAATTCATAATGAAAATATGAAACTTTAGTTCTTTATCACAATGCATTCACCTGTTGCAACATGCCAGTTTTCTCTTCATTTGAAACAAGTTCATCCATCATTGAGCACTTATTGTGTGTAGTGGTCCCCGTACCAGAAAGCCTTAGAGGGCAAGCTCTGGGGTAGATGGTTCTACGACTTCCTACTTACATAACCCTGGGCAAGCTACCCTCCCTGAGCCTTAGTCTCCTCTCCTGTGAACTGGATATAACAATAATATACCTACCTCATGTGAGTGTTATGAGGATATAATGAGACAACGCATTTAGAACAGAGGGTAAAGTCAAGAACTCACCACTTGTTAGTTCTTCTGTTTTGATTCATTTCCATATTTATTAAGCACTTACTTTGTGTAGGGCTCTACACTGAGTACTTAGCTGGAGCCAGATGATGACTGAATCCGGGCTCTGCCGCCTATGAGCCATAGCCTGGCCTTTCTGTCCCTCAGCTTCTGTGTTTCCAAGCCCTGGACATCCAGACCTGCCTGTAAGAGGTCTCATGTAAGTGTCAGAAGGAAGAAGCTTCAACCCATCAGAACCTCTCTCTTAGGTTGCTGCCCTGGAAAAGCCAAATCAGGAGAGATCCTACTCCTCAGCACCGGGCACCTCCAGACCAGTCCTGTTCTCACTACATGCCAAACCGTGGGTTTATATCTGTGCATAAAAGGGACGCAGTCCCTGCCGTTGAGAAGCTTATATTCTAGTAGTTAAGGTGTACAGGTAAGCAAAGAGTTATAACTTCTAAGAAGTGTGCAAATCAGCAGCTGCTGTTTTTGAGTTCACAGCATGGGGGCTTCTGCTGAAGTCTGCAGACTGACCTGACCTGCTTCAGAGGCACTCGTGACCTGTTGTCTATCGTAAAAAGTGCTCTAGACCCACTCTAATGTCTCAGTTCCCCTGAAGCCCTTCCTTCACCTTTTACCCTCTGTATTCTGGGAAATCCATCTACAGCATTACAGTGAATGAAAAATTAACCTTGCCAGATTGTCTGATGGCTAGACAATAATACTGACCCCCTCCCCCATGTATGTCATCATTAATATTTGAAGATACCCCACTAACAGAGATTTTTTTTTATGCCTCCATGGATTATTTTGATCTTACAAAAGATAACTGCCGACAGATTAGCTAGTCCTTTTTATAATTCACACATGCAGTACATTTGCATGCATGCAATACATAATGCATGCATTCAATATTAATCTTACATTTTATCTATTTTTTTGTTTTGTTTTGTTTTTATTAAGATTATGATAGTTTACAACCTTGTGAAATTTCAGTTGTACATTATTGTTAGTCATGTTGTGGGTACACCACTTCACCCTCTGTGCCCTCCCCCCACCCCCCCTCCCTTCCCCTGGTAACCACCAATCAGATCTCCTTGTCTATATGTTAACTTCCACCTATGAGTGGAGTCATATAGAGTTCGTCTTTCTCTGTCTAGCTTATTTCTTTTAACATAATACCCTCAAGGTCCATCCATGTTGTTGCGAATGGGACAATTTTGTCCTTTTTTATGGCTGAGTAGTATTCCATTGTGTATATATACCATATCTTCTTTATCCAATCATCAGTTGCTGGTTACTTAGGTTGGTTCCACGTCTTGGCTATTGTGAATAATACTGCAATGAACATAGGGGTGCATGGGACTTTTGGAATTTCTGATTTCAGGTTCTTAGGATAGATACCCAGTAGTGGGATGGCTGGGTCATAAGGTATTTCTAACTTTTTGAGAAGTTTCCATACTGTTTTCCATAGTGGCTGCACCAGTTTGCATTCCCACCAGCAATGTATGAGGGTTCCTTTTTCTCCACAACCTCTCCAACATTTGTCACTCTTGGTTTTGGATATTTTTGCCAATCTAATGGGTGTAAGGTGATATCTTAGCGTAGTTTTGATTTGCATTTCCCTGATGATTAGTGATGATGAGCATCTTTTTATGTGTCTATAAGCCATCCTTATATCTTCTTTGGAGAAATGTCTGTTCATGTCCCCTGCCCATTTTTTGATTGGGTTGTTTGATTTTTTGTTGTTGAGCTGTGTGAGTTCTTTATATATTATGGAGATTAACCCTTTGTCGGATAAGTAGCTTGTAAATATTTTTTCCCAATTAGTGGGCTGTTTTTTTGTTTCAATCCTGTTTTCCTTTGCCTTGAAGAAGCTCTCTAGTCTTATGAAGTCCCATTTGTTTATTCTTTCTATTGTTTCCCTCATCTGAGGAGTTACGGTGTCCAAAAAGATTCTTCTGAAACTGATGTCAGAGTGTACTGCCTATATTCTCTTCTAGAAGACTTACTGTTTCAGGCCTAATCTTTAGGTCTTTGATCCATTTTGAGTTTATTTTTGTGAATGGTGAAAAAGAATGGTCAATTTTCAATCTTTTACATGTGGCTGTCCAGTTTTCCCAGTACCATTTGTTAAAGAGACTTTCTTTTCTCCATTGTAGGCCCTCAGCTCCTTTGTCAAAGATTAGCTGTCCATAGATGTGTCATTTTATTTCTGGGCTTTCAAATCTGTTCCATTGATCTGTGCACCTGTTTTTGTACCAGTACCATGCTGTTTTGATTACTGTAGCTTTGTAGTATCTTTTGAAGTCAGGGATTGTGATGCCTCCAGCTTTGTTCTTTTTTCTCAGGATTGATTTAGCAATTCGGGGTCTTTTGTTGCCCTGTATGAATTTTAGGGTTCTTTGTTCAATTTCTGTAAAGAATGTCATTGGGATTCTGATTGGGATAGCATTGAATCTGTAGATTGCTTTAGGTAGTATGGACATTTTAACTATGTTTATTCTTCCAATCCATGTGCATGGAATGTCTTTCCATCTCTTAATGTCGTCATCAATTTCTTTCAACAAAGTCTTGTAGTTTTCATTGTATAAATCTTTCACTTCCTTGGTTAAATTTATCCCAAGGTATTTTATTCTTTTCATTGCGATTGTGAATGGGATTGAGTTCTTGAGTTCTTTTTCTGTTAGTTCATTGTTAGTGTATAGAAATGCTACCGATTTATGTATGTTGATTTTATACCCTGCAACTTTGCTGTAGCTGTTGATTGTTTCTAGTAGTTTTCCTATGGATTTTTTGGGGTTTTCTATATATAAGATCACGTTGTCTGCAAACAGCGAGAGTTTTACTTCTTCATTGCTTATTTGGATTCCTTTTATTTCTTTTTCCTGCTGAATTGCTCTGGCCAACACCTCCAGTACTATGTTGAATAGGAGTGGTGAAAGTGGGCACCCTTGTCTTGTTCCTCTTCTCAGAGGGATGGCTTTCAGTTTTTGTCCATTGAGTATGATGTTGGCTGTGGGTTTGTCATATATGGCCTTTATTATGTTGAGGTACTTTCCTTCTATACCCATTTTATTGAGGGTTTTTATCATAAATGGATGTTGGATCTTGTCGAATGCTTTCTCTGCATCTATTGAGATGATCATGTGGTTTTTGTTTCTCATTTTGTTAATGTAGTGTATCACGTTGATTGACTTGAGGATGTTGAACCATACCTGTGTCCCTGGTATAACTCCCACTTGATCACGGTGTATAATCTTTTTGATGTATTGCTGTATTCGGTTTGCCAGAATTTTGTTGAGGATTTTTGCATCTATGTTCATCAGTGATATTGGCCTGTAGTTTTCCTTCTTACTGTTGTCCTTGTCAGGTTTGGGGATCAGAGTGATGTTGGCTTCATAGAATGTGTTAGGGAGTGCTCCATCTTCCTCAATTTTCTGGAATAGTTTGAGAAGGATAGGTATTAAATCTTCCTTGAATGTTTGGTAGAATTCTCCAGAGAAGCCGTCTGGTCCTGGACTCTTATTTTTGGGGAGGTTTTTGATTACTGTTTCTATTTCTTTACTTGTGATTGGTCTATTCAGATTCTCTGTTTCTTCCTGATTCAAGTTTAGGAATTTGTCCATTTCTTCCAGGTTGTTCAATTTGTTGGCATATAGTTTTTCATAGTATTCTCTTATGATCCCTTGTATTTCTTTGGTATCTGTTGTGATTTCTCCTCTCTCAACCCTAATTTTATTTATTTGAGATTTCTTTTTTTCTCTCTTTTGTCAATTTTGTTAATTTTTTCAAAGAACCAACTCTTTGTTTCATTGATCCTTTCTACTGTCTTTTTTGTTTCAATATTGTTTATTTCTGCTCTAATTTTTATTATTTCCGTCCTTCTACTGACTTTGGGCTTTGTTTGTTCTTCTTTTTCTAATTCCATTAGGTGTCATTTGAGGTTGCTTATGTGAGATTTTTCTTGTTTATTGAGGTGAGTCTGTATTGCAATGAATTTCCCTCTTAGGACTGCTTTTGCTGTGTCCCAAATGAGTTGGTATGGCGTGTTTTCATTTTCATTTTTCTCCAGATAATATTTGATTTCTTCTTTAATTTCTTCAATAATCCATTGTTTGTTCAGTAGCATGTTGTTTAGTCTCCACATTTTTGCACCTTTCCCTGCATTATTCTTGTAGTTGATTTCTAGTTTCATAGCTTTATGATCAGAAAAGATGCTTGATATTATTTCAACTCTCTTGTATTTATTGATGCTTGCTTTGTTTCCCAAGATATGGCCTATCCTTGAGAATGTTCCATGCACACTTGAGAAGAATGTGTAACCTGCTGTTATTGGATGAAGTGTTCCATATATATCTATTAAGTCCATCTGGTCTAATTTTTCATTTAATTCTATAATTTCCTTGTTGATTTTCTGTCTGGATGTTCTGTCCATTGGTGTTAATGGGGTGTTGAGGTCCCCTACTATTATTGTATTGTTGTTGATGTCTCCTTTTAGTTCTGTTAAGAGTTGCTTTACAAATTTTGGTGCTCCTGTGTGGGGTGCGTATATACTTATAAGTGTTATGTCATCTTGGTGGAGTGTCCCTTTTATCATTATATACTGTCCCTCTCTGTCTTTCTTTATCTGTTTTGCTTTGAAGTCTACTTTGTCTGATATTAGTATAGCGACACCTGCATTCTTTTGTTCATTATTAGCTTGGAGTATTGTCTTCCATCCCTTCACTCTCAGTCTGTGTTTGTCTTTGGGGCTGAGGTGTGTTACCTGGAGGCAGCATATTGTTGGGTCTTGTTCTTTGATCCATCCTGCCACTCTGTGTCTTTTGATTGGAGAGTTCAATCTATTTACATTTAGAGTGATTATTGAAATGTGGGGGCCTACCACTGCCATTTTATCTCTTGTTTTCCAGTTCTCTTGCGTTTCCTTTGTTTCTCGTCCCATGATTTTGGGATTACTAATTCAGGTATGTAAATTTCTGTATTGGGTTTCTTCTTATTTGTAATTTGTGTCTTTATTCCTGTTATTTGTTTAGTGGTTACCAGATGGCCCACTAACAGAGATTTTTAAAATATGTGCTGGTCTCAGGTCCACAGACCTACAGTCTTCTACTAAACACCCCTGAACCTCCAAATAAGCAACTCCAGATAACTACTTTTCATATTCTTTGTCAGGGGAAGTTAATGCTCAGAAACTTCCTGCCTATTAGCCAGGAGACTTTTCTCTCTAATTTTGCAAGAGAATGAAGCTTCACTTTTTTTTCCCCTCTAACATACTACGGCCTCATGAATTCCAATGAGAACAGATTACTTTTAAAGTACGAAATGAGACAAATGGGAAAGCAACTATAACCACCTCTGGCCCACAGGAGATGAGCCACAATACATGTTCCGTTACTTTCTGATACATGATTCCTCAATCTGAGTGCATAACTCCAAATGACAATTTCAAAGAAGCAACACTCAACCCTGGTAACAAACAAGTGCCTATTTCTCAGGTACTTAGTAATTACTTATTTCCTATCCAAGACCTGTAGGGAAGCAGGAGCTAAAGAGGAGTGCAGTGAGCTAGCTTCTCTTCCCTCTGATTGCTGAATTTGGCAAAAGCCACGGTAAGTCACTAACCATCAGGCTGACAGCATCTCAGGCCCACATGCAGGTCTATTTTAAGCTTCCTGGCAGGCTCTGAGACCTTGTTGGACCATTTCCATGTTATGACAGCTAACCTCCAATATCCCCAAGGTTTTATCAACTGCCCACAAGAACACCAGGCCAATCTGGTTAAACACTTGTTCATTTCTAGGTTTATTCTAGGGCAAGAAAATGACTCAGTGTTAAGGGTCTCATTCAAGAACTGTTTTTGCATTTCTGGTATCACAGAAAGCATACATGTAGACAAAATAGGTATTTTTGCACAGCACTTTTTCGGTATCATACTCTTTTTGAAGCCCCTTACTCACTCCTGGCTGGCCGCTCTCTACAACAATCCTGGGTTATCTCAGGGTTACTTTTCTAAATCTTCCAATGTCAAAAGTGTCAACAGGTGTTCTGGCAGCTACAACAGTCTGTGGGGTCATAGTGGCAATCCCAAGGACCTTCCCCTGCTCTGGCCATATGGCCATGTGATAACAAACAGCACTTCAAAGCAAGCCTATTGGGTAGCCAAACGGAGCTCTACCTAGAGACAGGAAGAAAGCCAGGCCAGAGGGGAGACAAGGTTGAGACACTAAAGAATCTTCCCCAGTGGTACAAGCAGTTGGTTGCTCTGACTTTATTTATAACATACATATCAATGCATCAACTTTGCAGCTAGAAAATAAAACTTATGCCTCTAAATGAGTTTATTTCACAGCCATTACTTTGGGGAGGGAGCCTTTATTCTGAATCCAGAAATACCTTGGCATTGCCTTCAATACTCATGACAAATTCTTTTGACTATATTTAGTGGTGGCAAATACCAGTTTTTCAAGAGTGGGTGTTATTTTCAGAAATAGCCAGGTCATTCAGAACTAAGAATAATAAGATGGGAGAATCGATGCTATTTTGGTATAAAAACCAAGGTGCTGGTCATAGTAAAACAAGGTGGGGTTTCCTGTGCAGATCCAAAAACAATTTGAGAAGGTAATTTTAAAAGTGCTCTGTATAATGGCAGTGTTGGTGTGGAGTAAGGTATATGCTACCAAGGTAACAACTTTGAAGAGTTCATTGATATGAATGTATTCTGTAGTCTTACTTTATTTTCACAACCATTAGGAAAAAGTTTATAGACAAGAGCCAAGCCTAGTATAAACTTCATTTCTGAATCCTCGGTCAGAAACTTGTAAAAATCCCCTCTTAGCTTCAGTTACTGGTCTCCATGTCTGCAAAGTAGGGGCTAAGAAGTAGTGACACTCCTCATGTAAATTACTTCAAACTGCTATCCTAAGGTTCTAAGACTCTCCAATCTATTACTAACTTACTAGTATCTAACTTTAGAACATATTGCACTTGGGGGTCTGGGTTTCCTACTTTCTAGGAGTCCTAAATCTAAAACAGACACTGACCTGCACATGTTTAGAACATTAATAATAGCTAATACATATATAGCCATTACTTCCTGCTATGTACTTTCTTAGCACGATATATAATTACATCAACTCGCTTAATACTACCCGTGAGTTACTACCATTTTGTTTTGTTTTGTTTTTCGCTGAGGAAGATTTGCCCTGAGCTAACATTCTTGGCAACCTTCCTCTATTTTTCAGTATGTGGCCACCAGCACAGAATGGCTACTAACAGAGTGGTAGATCCACACCCAGGAACCAAACCCCGTCCGCCAAAGCAAAGCATGCGAAGTTAACCACTAGGCCACCCAGGCTGGCCTGAGTTACTATTGTTTTTATTCTTATCTTACATATTAGAGAACTGAGCCAGGACGAGGTTGCCCAAATAAGCTGCAGAGCTGAGAATGGAACCCAGGCAGTGTGGCTCCAGCTATGCTCTTATTCACTAGGCTATACCACCTTATTCTATCCTGGTCTATGAGACAAGAGAAAACCAGATACCTAAATCAGATATTCAACAGGACAAAGGAGAATGAATACTTAGGAATTTATGGGAAGCTCAGTTAGGAAGTAAAAAGAAGGGGGTGAAGCAAGGTAGATGGACCCACGTAAACTGAGATGAAGGTCACATAAGAGTAGCAAGAGTTCCATGGGCTGCCTGGGGCTGGCAAAAAGGCTCTCCTCTATTTTAGAGAATAGAGGAGGCTGGAAAGATCCAGGAGCTATGAAGAACCAGTTTCTGGCACACTATGAAGTTTTTCCTTTATTACATAAAAACCAGATAATGCAAGATTAAATAAAACTCCACAATACTGTTAACATGAGTTTTTATATCCAGCCCACATCACTTTGGGAACTTCATTGGCTAACAAGCAGATATGCTTAATAAATCAAAGTAAACGCACTGTTTGATACTAGGCAGGATAAGTGCAAATCTACCCGATATCACCTTCAATGAAGCTTGTAGAAGCCTCAGGCTTTATGGCTCTGTTCCCATAAAGAGCGGATATGTGTGGAAGGAGGCAAGTGAAGAAGCCCTCCGGATGTCTTCTAACAACAGAATGGCAATGCCACCCCAAGCCTAATCTTATCTCACAGAGGCGGAAACTGAGTCTCAAAAAGAGGAAATGACTTGGACGGAGGTCCTCTGACTCCAATCCAGTGCTCCTTCCACTTCTGTGGGCTGCATTGTACCCTCTTCCTTGTAACCACTCAGCGCAAAGGAAACAATACCGATTTCAAAGCCCCTCAGAGAATGTGAGCACACGTCTACTCTATAGGAAAAAGAATTCCTTCATCACAACGGCCTCTTGCAGCTGTTTAGACCAGCTCCTCTCCGGGACCTGAGAGGTGTTCAGAAAATGATAATAACCGAGTTAACGCTCCTAAAGTCCGGAAAGCATCAAATGAACGAGGCCACAGATACGCTCGGGTTGCCCTGCCTTATATCCTAGATTGGGGCGAACTGCAGGGAATTTAGTTTCCCGTTGGGCTGGGAGCCGCCCCCGCAGCCTATCCTACGAAGCCTGGGCCCACCGGCGAAGCGCGGGGGGAAGCTCGGCCCCCAGGTCGCCCATGCGCACGGCCAGTCCCCGGCCAAGGTACCAGGACTCGCGGAAGCCCGCCCAGCGGGGCATAGTCGGCGCCCGAAGCCGTAGTCGGCGCCCGAGGTCGTGCACTCGTGGGGATGCTGGGGCTGACCTAGGCGCTTCCCCCCTGCCAAACCACCGCCAGGCCGGCCACCTCCGCCCCGCTCCGCCGCCCCTAGCTCCCAACACCCGCGCGGCCCCACCTTCCACCGGCGGCCGGGCGCGGTCACGTGAGGCGGGCCCGTGCAACCAATGGGCTGCTCGCGCCGAATGGAAGGGATTGTCTGACCCCCGTGACGTCACAAAGCTGGCGAGAGGCGCGGTGCGCTTCCGCCCCCGCCCTCCGCTCGCCTCCTCCCCGCCCACCCGCCATTGCGCAGCCAATCGGAAGACGGGAAGCGCTCCAGCCCGAACATTCGGGCGGGGCAGGGTGGCGGCCCGGAGGAGCAGGGGCGCGGAGTGGGCCGGCCGGGGTCGCGGGGCCTCGCTCCGGGGAGTTGTGCCGGCCTGCGTGGAGGGAGCGCCGGGTAGTGCTGCCGCCGCCTCCTCGTCGAGAAGAAGCGGCTTCTTCCCTGGCGTGCCCGGTTCGTATTCCGTACTCCTGGCCCCGAGCCGCCCCGTCCGGAATCCTCCTCCAGCCTCCCGAAGTTGTGAGGGGGCGCCCGGTGCGCGTAGAGAGCGGCGGCCGCGGGCGTGCGGAGGCCGGCCGGGGCGGGGGAGGAACGAACCCCGGAGCGCCAGGTGCGCGCGGGGCGTCGGGGCTGCGGGCGGGTGTGGCGGCTCTGGGGGCAGCCGCGGGCTCGGGATGCGGGGGCGGGCCCGCTGTCAGTGCCGGGGGCGCTGTGGGGACCCGCGGAAGGGGGAGCTCCGGGGACGTGAGGCGCAGGTGGCGCGGCGTCTCTGCATGAGGGTCCCTCCTTAGACGCCCCGGGGTCAGGGGTGAGCCCACGGACAGCCCGCCGCGGGCGACCCCTGGTCTTCTGGATTGAAGCCCGGGCAGCGGGAAGAGGATGCCGCGCTGCCGGGGAGTGCGTGCCTGGCCTGGATGTAGGGGCTGGTCCCGGGGCGCGTCTCTGCTCGCGTCTAGGACTCCGCCGCCTCGGGCTGTAACTCTGCTTCTCCCGCGGGGTGGGTTGGTTTGGTTTCCCTCTTCTCCCCACCCCTTTCTCCCTCCTCCATCTTCTCCCCTCCCAGCCTCATTCACCGGGCTGGAGCGAGACCTCGCCCCTCCTCTCCTCCCGCCTCCCCCGCCGCCGCCTCTTCTAATGAGCATCTCTGCCTTGCTTTCAATGGGCCGGTGCTGCTGTCGCTGCTGCTGCCCGCGCGGGTTGTGGATGTTGTCGGCTCCGTGTTGTGATGACAGGAGAATGTGTGTGTGTCCCGGGCCCAGACGAATTGGTAGGTATTCCCCTAACTACCTGCGTTGGGTACCCAGAAAGGATGGTGACTGATTTTGTGTGTGGATGATTGTAGGTGGGTCGCCGTGGAATTAAGGGGTGAGACGGATAGACAAAGGGGCAAAAGCATCCTGGACTGAGATAGCTTTGATGCCTTAGTGAGTGCAGTTTTCAGATAGGGACAAAGGAAACTAATCAAAAGTGCTGGCTTGGGGCTTCGTGTCTTCTGAAGGAAGCCGATTTCTTCCTTCATCGAGAGATAACGGGAGCTGTGAAATGGCTAGGCATTTCCAGAAAATGCTGAAAAATCGCAGAGAGTCTTGATGCAGGGTGTTTAATGTAATCAGATTACATAAACCGAGGTTCTGACACATTTAATGACTAGTATAGCATTTTTTTCATTTACACCGAAAGCAAAGCTAAAGAACTCTGGAGTCAGTGCAGTAACAGCGTTTTCTAATTAATTTGCTCCATGGCTTTACTGATGAAGTGGAATCTTTTCATGGCACAGGCTCTGCTGAGCACATTAGTAAGAATGGATGGGTCTCTCTCCTGGTTCCGGTTGCAGTGCACCTTTTCTGTTAGTCTTAGTCATTGGCAAAATCAGCCAAATCTGCTAAAATCGGCCAAATCCGTCTCAGATGCTGCATATAATGTGACTGAGTCTGGATCATGGGATAGGAACTTTTTGGTGAAATTGTGGTTAGAAATTACTTGAGAATTTGACACTGCTCTAGTTTACAAGTGCACCTTGTTGCTGTTCTCATTGCCTAATCAAGAGCCTTCTACTTTCTTAATTTAGCAAGTTTGTGAGTAAAAATTTTGATTTCATGGGTTTTTGCTGTTGTTGAATCACAGGATATTCAGAAAGATACTCAGAGTCTTTGAATGCTTATAGTTTTTGAAAGCATTTGAAAGTACTTTGACTTCCAAGGGTATCTGGTCTGATGGAGAGAATATATAAGTTGTACTGGTGATGATAGAACATTCATTAATCACAGAGCAGGGTTTTCATAAATTCCAGTTTGCCTAATAATTTGTCTTTTGAAGGCATGTTGGGAGTTGGGGCGTTAGGATACCTTCTCAGTCCATGTGCTTATCTCCTAAATAACTGAAAGTTACAGTTGATAAAATGCACTCTCTGCTTTTTTGTTTTTAATCTGGAGAACTTTTGCCTTGAAGGAAAAATGTAGTATATTGTTTATTTGAGTGCTTGCTGTTTCAGTTTACATATTATTCAAAGCATCTGCTGCATGAATCATTAGTTCTTTTACCACAATATTTCATTCATTTTGCAGTTAACTATGAAAGCAGAAAAATTGTAAAAACAAAGGAATTTAAGGAAAGTGCAGGTTTCCCCGGACTTAGTTCTTGATTACACATCATAGAACCAAATCTTGTTGTGCAGCTGTGAAACTCCCCTCCCAAACACACACCCATAGTATTTTGATTCAATCTGCATTCCATACAGAAACAAACATATTTTTTTCCCTGTAAGATTCTTAAATTTTAATGGAAGCACAAATGCAAGCTTATATAAAGTTATAGAGGAAATTTCTTTTCATTAAGAGTACCATCTGTTTACATTTTTAGTAATAGAAAATCTTTATGCAAAGCATGAAATTAGTTAATGTGCTTTCTGCATGCAAACCTAACAAGATATGGTTTATGTCTGGAAGCCAGTGTCATGCGGCCCAACATTTGAGCACATCTCCTGGCTCAGTCATGTCCACTTCACCTTTGGATGACTTTCAGGTATTCAGTTTGAAGTGCTGTTATTTAAGTGGTTAGCCTTGATAGAGTCCTGTTCTTCTGGAATTCCTATTTTTCATTGCGGCATTTCAGAATGGTTATTTAGTTATTGATCTTATTTCCAAAATTCTAATCATTACTTTCTATTGCCTAATTTTGTCTTCAATTATGTAAACAAATCCTTTCTTAAATAGTGCAGTTAATGGTACTTTCTATCACTTGCAAGAGGGGCTCCATATGACTGGCTTATGCAGTGCTTGTTACAGAAGCAAACAAGAATCAGTTGTTATTCAGTGTTTGGTTTTCTCTGTTCCCTCACAATCCACTTATCACTTCTTCTCAAATTACTCTTCAAAAGAGGGTACATGAAAATAATGTACTGTATAGGTAACACTGTCTATGATATTTGTAACTTTTTTTTTGTAATGGGTTCAACCTTATTAAGGAAGAGTTGATATTAGTACTGAAATGGTTTTATTTTCCTTATTCCTTTTTGTTTACTGCATTTATCCCTTATTTAAAGTTTTCTTTCTTTTTTTTTTTTTTGAGGAAGATTAGCCCTGAGCTAACTACCGCCAGTCCTCCTCTTTTTTGCCGAGGAAGCCTGGCCCTGAGCTAACATTGTGCCCATCTTCCTCTACTTTATATGTGGGACGGCTACCGTAGCATGGCGGCGCCAAGCAGTGCCATGTCTGCAGCCAGGATCTGAACCGGCAAACCCCAGGCCACTGAGAAGCGCTGCGCCACTGGGCTGGCCCCCTTATTTAAAGTATTTCTAAAACCGATTTCTTTATAGACCAAATGAATACTTTGAAAATACCTCAAAAGTTCAGGGGAAATATGTTATTGAGGAAGAAGAGGAATTTTTTTTTCATAAATTATCTGGATTAATGATACACATTTATTACATTTTCTAGATAAATGCCCGGCAGAATATTTTCAGTGTCATATAGTCAGTGATATGATTTTGTTTTGTTCATTTTTATAATGCTGTACCTTTTTTATCCAAACTTTAGACTATTATTTTCACTATTTATTGCTTTCCGAGGCAAATAGATACCCCCCTCTTTTTTTAATGTAAGAGAAGGGGCCAGCCCGGTGGCACAGCGGTTAAGTGCACATGTTCAGCTTCGGCTGCCTAGGGTTCACTGGTTCAGATCCCGGGTGCCGACATGGCACCGCTTGGCACACCATACTGTGGTAGGCGTCCCACATATAAAGTAGAGGAAGATGGGCACGGATGTTAGCTCAAGGGCCAGTCTTCCTCAGCAAAAAAGAGGAGGATTGGCAGCAATTAGCTCAGGGCTAATCTTCCAAAAAAAAATTATGTAAGAGAAAATATTTTTCTAGGGGTGAATTCTACTTGGGATTCATAATAGATACAAATAATATTTCTATATCTTTCCCTTATGGCTGATAAACAGGAAAATGCTAGCAAGTTAATTAAATTCCAAAACTGAGACCATTTATGTTACTAACAAACTTTTAGAACTATTAGAATACTTAAACTTTCTTATCATGAAGGACACAGTAAAATTAAACAATGAATAAATGAAACCTGCATTTGTATTGCAAACCTGCATTTCTATACAGCCTGCATTGTATTTCACTTCAACAAATGCTTTTCATAAAGCCATGGAGTTCTAGAAGCGGCCTTAGATAGTATCTGCTCCGATGTGTTCACTTCCAGCTTACGAAAGTGAGGCTCAAAGAGGGGAGCCGTCTTTTCCAGGATCATTTGGCAAGTTGGTGGCAGACCTCTGTCTCTAAGCTCACCAAATTGGCACAGCGGTCTAGAGAAGCATTGTTTGCAAGATTATCCACTTGGATGCAGGAAGGGAATATTGGAATTTCTATTTTTATTCATTATATAAAGTTTTTTCTGTATATATTATAATGAACATTATATTAATACAGTAGTGTATGTGTATAGCTTACAAAATAATTCATGAATATACATGTTGGGGACGTATCCTAACACTTCTTTGGAGAAAGACATATGTATCAAATGCTCACAATTGACCACAGATCTAGAAACAGGATCTTCATAAATGGGAGAAATCCCCGTGTGATATGGGAGATCTAAGGCCATTTTTAAGGATAGGGAGGAGAGTAATTGGCCAGGTAGACTGCCACTGCCTAATGTTATATAACTGTCGTCTCCTCAGCTTCCCCCAGCCAAATCTATTGTACATTCTGCACAGTTTGTGCTGCACAAAGAAATATGAAGAAAAGAGAACAGACTAGGTTACGGTTCAGTCCTGGCTCCCTTAATGATTGGGAGCTGTGCTTAGCGGAATATACCCTGTAGAAATAGTACATCATGGGTGTATAAAATATAGTGCCTCTCAGCACAGGGTTTGCAACGTAGATTCACCTGGTAAATATTTGTTATAAAAGCAAAGATAGATTAAGTAATCTGAAACTTAACTCTTCTCTGTGTGTATCTGTGTAATTTGCTGTCTAGGAATCCCAGTCAGAAGTTCCAGCCTGCCACTATTCTCTGATGCCATGCCAGGACCAACTCAACTGTTTTTTCCTCTGATCCGTAACTGTGAGCTGAGCAGAATCTATGGCACTGCGTGTTACTGCCACCACAAACATCTCTGCTGCTCATCCCCTTACCTTCCTCAAAGTCGCCTGAGGTACACATCCCACCCTGCGTATGCTACCTTTTGCCGGCCGAAGGACAACTGGTGGCAGTACACCCAAGGAAGAAGATATGCTTCCACACCGCAGAAGTTTTACCTCACACCTCCTCAAGTCAACAGCATCCTGAAAGCTAATGAATATAGTTTCAAAGTGCCAGAATTTGATGGCAAAAATGTCAGTTCTGTCCTTGGGTTTGACAGCAATCAGCTGCCTGCAAATGCACCCATCGAGGACCGGAGAAGTGCAGCAACCTGCTTGCAGACCAGAGGGATGCTTTTAGGGGTTTTTGATGGCCATGCAGGCTGTGCTTGTTCCCAGGCAGTCAGTGAAAGACTCTTTTATTATATTGCTGTCTCTTTGTTACCTCATGAGACTTTGCTAGAGATTGAAAATGCAGTGGAGAGTGGTCGGGCACTGCTACCCATTCTCCAGTGGCACAAGCACCCCAATGATTACTTCAGTAAGGAGGCGTCCAAACTGTATTTTAACAGCTTGAGGACTTACTGGCAAGAGCTTATAGACCTCAACACTGGGGAGTCAACTGATATTGATGTTAAGGAGGCTTTAATTAATGCTTTCAAGAGGCTTGATAATGACATCTCCTTGGAGGCTCAAGTCGGTGATCCCAATTCTTTCCTCAACTACCTGGTACTTCGAGTGGCATTTTCTGGGGCCACCGCTTGTGTAGCCCATGTGGATGGTGTTGACCTTCATGTGGCCAATACCGGTGATAGCAGAGCCATGCTGGGTGTTCAGGAAGAGGACGGCTCTTGGTCAGCAGTCACTCTCTCTAATGACCACAATGCTCAGAATGAAAGAGAACTGGAACGACTGAAATTGGAACACCCGAAGAATGAGGCCAAGAGTGTGGTGAAACAGGATCGGCTGCTTGGCTTGCTGATGCCTTTTAGGGCTTTTGGAGATGTCAAGTTCAAATGGAGCATTGACCTTCAAAAGAGAGTGATAGAATCTGGCCCAGACCAGTTGAATGACAATGAATATACCAAGTTTATCCCTCCTAATTATTACACACCTCCTTATCTCACTGCTGAGCCAGAGGTGACTTACCACCGATTAAGGCCACAGGATAAGTTTCTGGTGTTGGCTACTGATGGGTTGTGGGAGACAATGCATAGACAGGATGTGGTCAGGATTGTGGGTGAGTACCTAACAGGCATGCATCACCAACAGCCAATAGCTGTTGGTGGCTACAAGGTAACTCTGGGACAGATGCATGGCCTTTTAACAGAAAGGAGAGCCAAGATGTCCTCGGTATTTGAGGATCAGAATGCAGCAACCCATCTCATTCGCCATGCTGTGGGCAACAACGAGTTTGGGGCTGTTGATCACGAGCGCCTCTCCAAAATGCTTAGTCTTCCCGAAGAGCTTGCTCGGATGTACAGAGATGACATTACAATCATTGTAGTTCAGTTCAATTCTCATGTCGTAGGGGCATATCAAAACCAGGAATAGTGAGTGGATCTTACCCTGGCAATTCTCAAATGAAATAGATTTAAAGGGCAGATAGATTTTTAAAAGATACTAGTACAATAAACATTTCCAGTAGGTCATTCTAAGCATTTACCCATTTGATACTCTAGCTAGTCAAGTACTCCAGGTTGACTTTGCAGCAGGGTGGCAGGATCATGAGAGTTTCATTCTGCCTAGCTTGGACCTCATAGCACCTGCATTTGAGGCAAGTCAGTTCCTTATTGCAGATGTCTTGTGGCATTGGCTTCTTTTATCAATCTGAGAAAATCAGGATGACCTAGCAAGTAGACTCTTGAATGGGCCGAAAGCAAGGATCTTGCTGGGCGTATTCTTTTGGTAAAAGGGAAGAAACATTACTGTTCACACCTGCAGACCCATTTTGTCACTAAGATTCCAGTGTACCTGAGATCATTTATTTATTGCATGATTTCCTAGATATACGATCTGTGCATGATTCATATAAATTTATTTTAACCTGAAGTGATTTTCAGATCCAGTGCTTTAAGCCATAAATGACCAAGAACTAAGCAACCTCCCTTCCCCACCGCTGAGTACTTAATGTAATTGAAACATTTTCTATTTTTTCACTCACTTGAAGACAATAAACATTTTTAGTTTCATCTACCCTTACATTGATGTTAAATAAAAAAGATTTTTTTCAGTTTGTATTAATGAAGAACTTTATTTAGTTTGAAATAAAAAGATCCATAATAAAAAGGAGGGATTGATATGTTCAGTTGCTGTCATCTATAGCGACCAGCGCACCACTCTTATCATGTAATCTCCAAAGGCTTGGCGTGCTGTAAGTGTGTGGTGGGTAGACTGCTGCCGGGAAATCATACTTCTAATTTAGTAGTGATGAGAATTTTCATCACTTTTGGGAATCTTAAGGGTGACGTATAAAATAAGTTTAAATATCAATTTGGGGAGTGAGGTTTAATGTTACCTTCCATTGAGATGGCAGAGGAAGTTTTTGTTTTCCCCCACTTAGACATAGGTCAATTAAAATATTTGGTTTCAAAATTACTAAATGCTTTAAACATATTATAGCTTATAAATAGGACTGTTAAGATATATACATGAGAAATTTTAAACGAACTATTGTGCATGCCTGATGCTTCTTTAATAGAACACTTAGTAGCATCAAGTGTTGTTTGCAGCAGTCTCCGCAATTATATGCAGTCCCTTCTAATGATATATCAAAGTAAATGAAAATAAATATATTCAGATCGGCTTTTGAGAGCTTATTTGATATGCATCAAATGGCATTTTGTTCCTGTGTTTAATGGTGATCTGTGTACAGCTGTGCATGTATTTTCATCTTTTATTCTATCATCACTATTAAAAGATTGGCTATGACTATGTTTGAGATTCATATAGATTTTAATACAACACATGATTAGCTTTCCCTTGTGTAATTAGTTGAGGGGTCTGTAGGAGTCCTTTTGGATTTCTGTAGAATATGAACTAAATGTTCAAGGACTCCCTCTGGACTGTGGACACTAAAGCATTGTAGAACTCTTGACTGCAGAACTTGTTCCAGTTGAAAAATAAACTCAGGAAGATTGTACCTCAGAATATCATCTACTGTTTGTTTTCTGAGGTTTTTTGTTTTTTTCTGTTTTTTTTTTTTTTTTCTTAAGTCAGCTTGGAACTTTTCTTCCAGGCAGCATTTTGGAGGGGGAAAGGCTGTACTATATATTTATTTCTAAATGTTTTGAAAAAGACTTCATCTTTTAATGAAATATATATAGACTGCAGCAGCAACTAAAACCCATTTTCAGGCTACTATTTGAATTTCTTTTGGACACCATCACTGAAGAGTTCCATATTACTATATACTTAATAAAAGTCTTGTCTGTATATAGTGTTTAGTTTCCTGTGGTCATAATCAAGATAGTAATTCTTATTATTACACAAGAAACTTGGTCTGCAGTCCAAAAACCAGTCTACTCTCTGTAGAAATGAAAATGCAATGTGGAGTTGACATTGTGGAAATGAAAATAATTGGATGTTAGAAATCTGAATGTACTCTCATCTAAAAGCAGTTGTGATTTTATTGTAATTGGTTGTCACTGTGATGTGATATCTGGAATTAAAGAATACATGTAAACTTTCATGGTATTTAGCCTTTCTTAAACTTTTCCTTATTTAAACTTTCTAACATGTATCAACTTCTGTATTTGTATTTAATCAGTGGCTCATGATATTTATAATACGCCCATCACTAGTCAATGGAATGGGGGTATGGTACATAGTACTTGGTAGAAAAACTGTCTTATAGAGGATGTATCTGTGTGAAGAAGTGAGAAGTTTATAATGTAGAGAATGGTCAGAGAAATGCCCACAGTGAATTAAAGCTTCATGTCTGCTTTCTGAATGGCCTGTGTTTTTCATAATAGTTAAACTCATTAAATACTTTCTACGGTGGTAGATTATACTTTAAGATCCAGTAGGTAAATAGTACTTTTTTAAAAAAACTGAAGTATAATTTACTTTCAATAAAATGCGTAGATTTTAAATATACAGTTTGTGATTTGGTAACTACAACCCCAATAAAGGTATAGAACTTTTCCATTACTCCAGAAAATTCCCTCATGCCCCTTTCCAGTAAATCTCTCCCCAGGTAACTATTGTTCTGACTTCTATCATGATAGATTAATGTTGCTTGATCTAGAAATTCATATAAATTAAATCATATAATATGTACTCTTTTGTGTCTGACTTTTGTTCAATTTTTAAAGATTCATTTATGTTGAGTGTATTCACAGTCTCTTCCTTGTTACCAAATATCGTTCCATTGTATGAATATACCATAATTTACCTTTAGTTGATGGGCATTGTTAGTCCTACCCCCCATTTTAAAGCTAACTTTTAGATTAGCAATTCTCAGAAATACTGTTTGGTTGAGGAGAGCTTTAACTTTGCAAAAACAATTACTGGTGAGTTTTATGTTCTATACCTTAAAGGTGGGACATTTTTTTTAATGCCCTTTAAACAAGTGTTGAAAATTTTTCTTGGTGATAAATCTGGAGTTAGGAAGTGGTCCTTTGCTGTTGACCTCTATGGACCTCTCCCACTGAGCATTTTGTTGAGTTAATTAAGTTCATTAAATGATTGCACTAATGAGTATCGTATAAGAAAAAGGCAAATTATACCTTGGTTTTTGATGGTTTTGGTTTATCACTCCATCAGTCATTGCTCTGATTAGGGATGAGGAAGGAAATAGATTAAATGCCGACTGTTAAATTAGGACTGGGATGGTGTGACTGACTTAAGTATTTCTGCTTTTATTAAACAAGATTAACACTGCCTAGAATGAGCTTCCCTGTTCACTAGTCAAACATGCCTGAATGTGGGTTATTGTTAGTTTTGTCCTTGGGTATTGCAAGAGGGTCTAGGTAACTGTGTTAATCTGTAAATTAACATACCTTAGTTCTGACCTTTTTCATAAATAATAAGACGACATTCATTATAGAATTTTTTAGATCATCAAAAGCCGAGTCCTGGACAAGCTGGGTAGATATCAATGGCTTGTGAATTGACTTGTTACTGTGTGAAGACCATTTCCTTTGTTCCTTTCAGAATTTACTTTGAAAGCTGCGCTTAATCCTATTAAATCCTGTCTGCCTGGTTCTTATGACAAAATTTATACCTTGAATTGAATCCTAACAATATACACTATTGTTTTCCACATACTCTCAAATTACAAGTTTTCAAAGTCAATAGATAAAGAATGATGAAATTCATGCATTTAATGTGCTATTAATAATATCCAAGGTACATATTTTAAGGACCACACAGTTTAGGCTCAATTATTTAGCCAATATTTAGATCCGTAAAATATGCACATATCTGGTTTTAAATTGTTCTAATAATTTTTTAACTTGATATCTTGTTTATCCATCAAGATTTTCTGTTTTTTAACGGTAGGGCCCATGGGTTTTATGGGTTTTTTTTGAGCCAACACAATACTGAATAAGAAATATTCAGCATTCACTTTATTTTACATTAGAGATATACAATAAAAAAAAAAACCCAAGTGAACTTTAAAAAGTTCTTTCTTTCATTCATCAGAAGTTCTCTCACTTCAGATGCAGAGAAGAAATTTACTCCTGTAGCTATAGTTTCATTTTATAGTTAAGATTCAATGATTTCTAAAACCTGACCTAGTTTCCTGTTGCAAAGAACTAATACTTAAAAATTTTAAGTGCCAGTATACAAATTGGCCCCTTCACAGGTTTAGCCCACCAGGGGACATGGCTTCCTGTGTTCTTTGGGAGAGACCTCAGAGAGTCAATTGTCAATGAGTCTGTTGGACCCAAAAAGTCAATTCAGATCTAGTACAATTTTGCTAGGTTGTCCCCATTCAACCGTTGAGCGCCTGAAGCTCAATATGCACAGAATAGGAGAAGTCCTTTGAGGGCCCACCAAGAACTGCCGGCTATTTGGAAGTATCTAGTACCTGGCTCCAAAAGGATTGAGTGTTTATTTCATCTCGGTTCACATTCCTACCCCAAGGGGTGGAGGAGAGAGTTTTCCACCTAAGACTGTGACCTAGAGTCATGTTTCTTTGCTTTCCTAAACCATACCCACTTCACTGACTATCTTCCTGCGGCACACACTTGACCAAACTGCACGACTTTTAATACAGTGCAAGGAGGTTAGTGATCACCTTCAGCCTTTCAGAAACTTCAAACCTTGGGAGCTGAGCAAGAAACTAGCAGCCAAGAGTCAAAGAACCAAAGATTTTATCTCACCTGTGATGATGAATCAGTTTGCCTCCTAGAAGGACAGGAATAGTTTGATTGGCTGGCAGTGTTGACTAAGAGGCCAGCCTTCTAGCAGGAAAGCTGAGAAGGAAACGTGACAAGAGACCTAAGAGAGGGAAGAAAAGTGAGAGAAGGAAGAGAATGGAGTTGGCAGTCTCAGTAGTGATTAGAGGCAGTAATGGAGGTAGGGAGCATCAGATCCTCCGACGCCTTGGACTAGTGACAGAGGTGAAGGCAAAGCAGAGGACAGATGACAGCAAGCTGAAAAATGGTGAGGTAAAGGTTTTTTAAAAACATTTTTGAGCCATACGAAATTGTGTTTCATGCTAGAGCAGCAACAGTTGGAATGCAAAACAGTTTCTATTAGCATGGCCGTTTAGTCTGGGCTCATTAGATAAGAGAGTGTTAACCTAAAAATATAGAGCCAAAATGAGAGGCAGACATTTATCTTGGGATCGAAGAATTGAAATTCAGGGAGCACAAATTCAGGTAGAAACCCAAATAGTGTCCCAATTAGAGGAGAGGGCCTCAGGGTTTTTATAGGAAAAAGGGAGGGAGATGAGGTGAATTGTATTAAAGAAGAGTTCATTGGTGCTGCAGGGGGTAAGGCTCAGTTTGTACTTCATTGATTGGTTAGCAATTCGGTCATCAGCAAAGTCCAATTTCCTCAGTCCTTACCAACAGGATATTCTTGTCCTTACTGACTTCTTGGAATGTTGGTGGTTTGATCCAGTTTGGAAGATACAGGTGTGTAAGGCAATTCCTTTGAAATGGCTGCTCTGGCTCCATTTTAATTGTGGCTCCACTCGTCATCTTTCACAAGGGAAAAAGGAAAGTCTTTGAAACTGACCAAATAGAAAGGGGTATGTGGTGCCCAGATGGAGAGTTTTCTTCAAGAAACTTTGCTTAGTAATAATTTTTTCTTGCTTCAAACCTGGGGACAGGTCAAACAGTCTAATTTACCTGATGAAAACAGAGACTGGATCATTAGAGTCTCAGGAGGAACAGAGCTGTGAGACTGAACAGACCAGAGAGAGCGCATTATAAAAGCAAGGCCTTTGTACAAGGAAGTCAGATTCCTGTGGCTCTTGCTTAGAGGGGCATCAGGTGTAAGCAGAACACCCACTGGCCTCACAGCCTAGTAATACTAAGAGTAACCACAACTACTGTTTCTTGAGCATTTACTATGTGCCAGGTCCTGTGGAAAGTACAGGATATACATTTTCTGTTTTAATCCTTGTGCTGCCTAGCCTCTGTTTGGCCACTCAACACCTTCTCTAAGCCATCTCTTCTCTGCTTTGTGTGCCAGGAAACTGAACCCTGCAGGCTGCACCTCCCAGGCTTGCTTGCCTCCTGACTGCCTTTTCTGTCCAATGGATAACACCTGCAGGCGATTGGAAGGAGGTTGAGAGAATCGCTGGGATAATTCTTTCTCATTCCCTCCATTCTTCAGGCTGCATCTCCAGCTTTAGCTATGTCCCTCCACACTATAGCACCCTCACGCCCCACCCCCTCGCCACGATTCCAATTCTCAGTGCGTTCAAGTAACTGTTTCTCCCTTTGTCCTTTCAGCCTAAGGGATGGTAAAGGCTTCCTACTGTTGTTAGTCTCTGGGTGCCTCACTAACCCTTGTTTGTTCCCTCATCCTTGCTCATGCCTCTGTAAATAATCTATTCGTTTGAACAACCTGGGGTGAAATCAATTTCCTGCCATGACCTGACTGATATAATCCTCAAAACAAGCTGAAGTATTATTCCCCCTATTTTCCCAAGCACTTTTCCAACATCACACACCAAACAAACCCATATCTGTGTATTTCAAAGCCTGCATGTTTAATCACCACATCACACTCCCTGGTTTCTCTGTATAACCAGAATGAGCCCTTCGGAATTGAGAAGACCTGAGGCAAGTGACCCCTTCAGAAACAGAGGCAAAAATCCTCAGAAGAAGCAGTAAAGATTGATGTAGCCCAGCATTTAGTCTAGCACGTAGGGAATGGAGCCACCCACAGAGGGATGGGGTGTACCAAGTAAGTCCATGAACAGAACAGGTTAGAACCAGAGGTGTCTCTCACTTAGCAGTGCATTCCAGTTTCCAGGCATGCAGTTTCTCAGTTCCCCAGTTCATTGGTTGAAATATTTATTGAAAATGTATTATAGTGTAGGCACTGAGGATAGGTGTTGGGGTAAAAGTACAGTCTGCCTTCCAGCAGCACACAGTTTGGGAAGATGCATGTGTAAAAAAAATAATTACCATTAAGTAAGTAAGAATGATTCAGAAATTGAAACAAGTACAAATTCCAACAATAATCCAGAAAAGAGAGTGATTTTACTCTGTCCTGGTGTGCCACAGGGATAAGGCAGGCCCTGGAGAGTCATGGAAATTTCATTAGAAGGGACAATGCTTAAGTGAAGATTCGAAAGGTGAAAAGAAATTTGCTAGGTGGAAAAGGACCCAGGAATGACATTCCTGGAGAAAGGGGAGCATATGTTGAGGCATGAAAACGTGAAACCATACTGTGTGTTTGAAGATCTCTTGAGGACCTTTTGGTGACTAGAACATGCACCATGAGAAGGGACTATGGTGAGAGATGAGGTAGAAAGATAAG